ACTGCTGGGCGCCTGCGGGAGCCGGAGCGCAGCGCGGAGCTTGCGAGGCCCGCGTGAGAGGAGATGAAGTGGGGAACTTCACCTTCCCTCAGGATCCAGGCCGAGCGTCAGATCGAGCCCCTCCGCTCTGCACCGCCCCCCCACCCCCCAGCCGCCGCCCCACCTCCGCCGGCTCCGGGCGACTCCCTTCGCGGCCGCTTGTAGCGCGTTGCACAAGTGGGGTCTCCTCTGAAGTGTGCGCGCTCACCCCCAGGAGGAGGACCTGCACTTCCCGGCCGACTCTCCACAAGTCCGCAGCGGGCTAGTTCCCACCGCACCTTCCAAGGCTCGGCGGTGTGGATGGCGTTGCGGCTCCGAACTGGGTTGGAGCCTGGACCGGGCTGTGTTTGCGGGGGGGCCCAGATCCCCGGGTCCGGGGAGCGCTCGGCCCGGGTGCGAGATGCGCGGGCCGAGGTGGGCGCGCGCCGTCCCAGGTTGCCGAGCCACCACCCGAGGGAGTTCGCGGCTTCTGGGCCCTGCTAACGGTTGCATCTGGTCCGTAACGCTCTTTGGAAATGAGTTCCACGGCGGTTTGGCAGAAGCCCCCGCCAGCCCGCCCCTCCATCTTTGGGGTACCACTTGCTGTACCCTAACACTAACAGCGCGATCTTTCTGCCGGTGTAAATTCCCTGTGAGTGGCGCCTAAGCTGCCACCTTAACAGGCTTGCCACTTTTGTTTTAGTTGTGATACAAAATTTTAAAACCCAGCAGGATCCTTTGAGGGTTAATTTAAGTCTTCACTGTTTTCAATTAAATCCTTCTACAGCGATACGGCAGGAGTGAGTTTTTAAAAATCACATTGTAACTCTCCGACGTACGCTGCGAGAGCATACGCTGAGCGCTGGCTCTCACAACTTCATGCCCTAAGAAGCTAATTTATTATTGAGCAGAAGCCTAAATCAGTTTTAATGATAAACTGCAGAAAACAGTTCTTTCTGACACATTTGATTTGGCTATATGAAACTATATGACAGGCATTCTTTCATAGCATTTGCTACTTCCTTGCATTCTTTGGGTGTAATGTAGAAATCATTGCTATCAGGAGAAAACTGGGTAGGGCTCTTTATTAACAATCCTTGCCTCTTTCTGCTGCAAATCTCCACTGCCCTGGAATCTCCTCATCTCAGTTCCTCATATTTCTAAAATTTATGATGCAATCCTATAGGCAGCTGATGATAATACTAATCTTGTTAGCTCTTTCCAGGTCCTGCATAGATCAAGATATCCTCTGTAGTAAGCTAAAACTTAACTCCGACTTGAGATTTACACATGACCCAGGTCTGAAGTCTCTGTTTTTGGCATGAACTCTCCACAATCCTCAACCCACAGATTTCACATCAGATTTAAACTTTGTTAGCAACTGATGGTATTCGGTCTGACCAGAATTAGAAAATGCAGTCATCAAAGGTTTTACATATACATGTTGTGTACAATGATTTAATGGTGCTTATGGTCCATCAGTTGGGCAATTTGCTATTTATCCTCCACTAGTTCTATTTCACTGCCCACTTTCCATACTGCAGCTTTCTAGACCAGGCCTCAAATTTATTCCCACCCCATTGTGAGCCAGGGAGATAATTCAGTAAATGTGATGTGCTCCTACATACTTTTGAAGTAGGGGCCCAGACAGAAATCCCAGGGTGAGGTGCAGGTGTGTCTAGTTGGGGACTCACCCAGATAATTCTAATAAGACTCGCTGGAAATGTGTTCCTCCCACCAGGCCTGCTGAGAACACCTGCTCAGGATTCTCTGGCATTCAATGAGGCCAGATAGTATAACTATAATAATAGTGGATGTGAGCTTGTAGGATCTGAAGAGAAACCAGAGTATGGGGGTGTGAGTTTGTATCCAAATCTTTCATAAAGGGTTAAAAAAAAAACTCTAGGGATACAAAGTGCTATTATCTCTTGTCCCTGGATGATAGTGAAGTCATATTCAATATGCTATTTGATTTGCTTGCTTCATAATGATAGATGATATTGTTGACATTACTGTCCAAATATTTATATGTAACCAGAAGGACTGGTTTCAAGTTTAGGTTTTACTTTGGATTAATGCACTAACCAGTGATTAAGGATTGAGAAAATTGCAATCCTTCCTGCAAATGAGCTATGGCAAGAAATTCAACTAAAACCATAGTTAATTAGGTGATTCAAAGCAGAATAATGATCATAAAAACGATGCTAAGCACTTCTACCTGAGATGATGTTCTGAAGCAGCCAGCCTGATCTAAATTGGTTCTTAATCTTTGAATGTTGATCTGTCTTCTTCCTTACCCCTTCCATCTCCCTGTTTTTCCTGCATCAGAAAATAAATATCTTAATGTAAGCGATCATGTATTATTCAATTTTATATTTTCACATCTGGAACACAGTAGATGCTAATAGTTGTTGAATAAACAAGTGAATGAATTATGTTCCAGGAACTAAAAATTACTACCAACATCACTGGGGGTTAGGGGTTTGGGGGGAAGCACTTGAACCCTGTAAATATGTTTAGCAGGGAGGAGAAAACATCTGCATCTCATCAGTGAGATTTACATTCTCTGAAGTGGCTTAGGTCACATGCCCACTCCTGATCAATCACAGGAGCCAGAGAAGTGGAGTCAGCATCCTCAGGACCAGTGTGGATCATGGATCTTCCCCCTCAGATTTGTGCCTGTTAGAAAAGAGGGAGGGAGTCCTAGACGCTGTAGAAGCAACATGTGTCCAATGTCATACCAGAATCTGATCTTCTGATTACTTAAATAGTCATGGGCATAATTTTTTTGAAAAGATTTATTTATTCATACATAACTGGGATACAAGCCAGAGGTGAAGGGGTGGTGAGAGGATTCACCAGAGGCAGAGTGGGGGACAGAGCAGGCAGATCAATGAAGTACACTGCTGAAAGGAGCAGTGGGTGGGTCAGGAGAGGTCTGGGGTGCCATGTGGTCACCTCTGGGGCAGGGGATCGAACTTGTAGTGAAGTGCCTGCGCCTCGCCTGCAGTGCTGCATCCTAACCTGTTGTGCCACCAGGGAGGGCCAAAATTACCTCAATTTTTTTCCCTTAGAGCACATACTTTTATTCAATTATGCATTTATTTTATTTTATTAAAGATTTATTCATTTATGCATACAAAACTGGGGTACATGCCAGAAGTGCCAGGATGGGGAGAGGATTCACCAGAGACAGAGCGGGGAGCAGAACAGGCAGATCAATGAAGTATGCTGCTGAGGGCAGCAGTGGGCAGGTCAGGAGAGGTCTGCTGTGCCATGTGGGTCAGCTCCCTGGTGGGGGATTGAACTTGTGCTGTAGTGGCTGTGCTTTAACCTGTTGTGCCACCAGGGAGGGCCCCATGTATTTATTTTAAAAGATTTAATACTGAATTGTTTTTAAAGAGTACAACTAAAGAGCTGATCTAAAGACCTTATAAACATCCCACGTAAATTATTCGTTGCATACAACTTCAGGGGGAAAATGCATATTTAAAGTAAAATGGGTAAATTTTTGTAAGGTTTACAAAAACACCTGTTAAATGAGTGAGAAATTGTCAGTGTTGATACCGTGACAGTATTCTCATGGATAAACTGGGAATCCATGCCCAACAGGTGGTGTGAAGCACCTTTTCTAGAAGACTAGCATTAGGTTAAATCCAGAGTCTCACTGGAGAGGGTGTTCAATTGTTGTAAAGGTTCCTAGGGGCTTAGACCAGCCTGTCCAAGTTCCCTTACTCATGTGTTGAAACTTCTGGAGAGGTCCTGAAGTCCACCAGTCTTCTAAGTCTGTGCAGAAGGAAACTAAAGTGGTTTGATTTGGCAACTCCTCAGGCTACTTGCCTGTGTAAGGAAATGGATTGAGGAACGGGATAACATTAAATTAAGCCCTTGCCCAAGCAGAGGGCTTTACCTAAGTCCCAGGGTTCTATAGGACTACCACACACAAAACCCTTGTCCAACTGTTCCAAAGGCAAAGTGATTGTCCTCCCCCAAAACACTGACTTTTTGGAACCC